TTGCGTTGAATTATTTATTTCTTGAGTAGTCAGCTTTGTATTTAGAAGAAAGTTTATAGAATTCATTCAGCAGCTAGGTGTGGTGGTGCATGCCTGTAATCCCAGCACTCTGGAGGCTGAGGCAGGAGGATCGTTGCGAGTTGGAGACCAGCCTGGGCTACAAAGTGGGCTCGAGGCCAGCCTGAACTGCATAGTGAGACCCTGTCTCAAAATGACAAAAAAAAAAAAAAAAAAAAAAAAAAAGAACTAGAAGTCCTCTTCAGTGGGCCTACAGATCACAAATGTTTCCATTCCTCCCGCTTGAATCTAAAGACAGTATTCATAGAAAGATATTTGTAATTTGGAGTAGGCAAATACTGATACAGGGGAATAGAAACTCCCAACCTGAACAACCTCTGGGACCAGTTCGTGTTCTCTAAAATGAAAGAATGAATTTTAGGAACCACGGAAGTTAAGAGCAGAATATATTTATTGAGGGAAAGAAAGCTTCTGTCCAAGAGAGGGACAGAAGAGGGGCCTGGGGCTGGGGATTTAGCTCAGTGGCACAGCGCCTGCCTGGCAAGCGCGAGGTTGTGAGTTCGATTCCTGGTACCGGAAAAAAACAAACAAACCAAAAAAAATAAAAAATAAAAGAAGGGGAACCTGAGTGGGTTGCCCGAGACTCAACCACGAGGTGAGTTGGGTCCTAGTTAGGGGAAAAAAATGGACAAAACTATGGTCAGCCAATAGGAATTGTTCAGGTAAAATTGATTAAATCTGGATCAAACGGGGAAGCGAGTCACATAGCAAGGGGACATGAATACAGAACAGGGGCTTTTCCTGTAAGGGGTTGGGTCAGTGACTCTTCAAGGTGATGGCTACCTATTTAGAATATCAATCCCTGATGTCCATCCCTGGGGAGGTGTGTGGGTGCGTTTGTTTAATCTTTTGTCTTGAGGTCTGGCCCGCAGCAGATACCTGTCTTATCTTGTCTTTCATGTTGGCTCGTTCGAGGGCCTGGCCCTGTCTGACTGCCTATAATTCTGTCTAACCCAGCCGCCTGTAACAATACAACCTGAACTTTTAAAGGTGTCTGACTTAGGAATCTCTTGGTGGTTCTACTTAGCATTAGTGAATACTATCCCTTTAACTAGCTATAACAATTAGCCCTCATAACATACAGAGGAGAGATGTCATTATAGTGAAATCTAAGAGGCAAATGGTTCAGATTTTTAACTGTTTTTCTTTTACTGAATAATGCTCCAGTAACCTATTTTGTCTCTCTCAGCCGTCCTGCTGCTATACAGACACACTTCCTCTCAGAAAAGGCAATGAATGAATGACGCTACTGACCTATTTTCCTTTTTTTTTTTTTTTTTGACCAAAAAACCCCTCATGAAGGAGG